TAGATCCGGTTTATATACTTTGGTATACCATATTATATATATATATATATATATTTTTTTTTTTTTTTATTTATCTAGAAGATTGATATCTTATTCATTGTAATTCTATAATAAAAAAAATAATTCAAATTAAATTATAAGATTTATTTTTTATTATCAAAATTTTTATTTAAAAATAATAATGTGGATTAAATTTGGTAAGTCAACCTGTAAATTCACCTACTTTTATGTGGATTAATTTGGATAAATAAATAAATAAATCTTTCAAATTCGTCAACCTAGCGAGTTAATTTATTTATTTTTTAATGTTTTTAGAAGATAAATTTGTATTAGATGTCTGTAGAGTCAATGTTTTTATTCTAAAAATGAAACATGTGTAAATAAAATGACGTGGATTGATCTTAAAATGTTAGTGTTTCCAAACTCAAATCAATTTTTTATGGATGTTAATATACCTGACCCACAATCTCCAATTGAGACAAATGCGTTCTCCTCCTTTACAAACGTAACCTTATAATTATCATCTTTTGTCTATTTTTTTTTTTTTGTCAATCACCTTCATTCTCGCAAGCATTGTTTCTTAATGCATTCATCATTGGAGTGACTTCACTAGGCAACAAGTTGGTGTTGTCGTTATAGTTTCACAACTATTAAAACAAGGAAGAAGATATGTTTCTCTTTGTGGAATATAAGGTTTGTATTTTAGCATCCACGAATGGTTAGTTTTTCCCCATATATTTTGTCTAATTTTTTCACATTTTTACATTTATTTATGAGATTATTTTATGGTTCATCAAGGACTTTTCTATAGAATGACAAAGTGATCGACGAAAAAACAGAGAAAGGATGACAATTAGGGTTATGTTCACAAAGGAGAGAACATATTTGCTCCAACTGGGGATTGTAGGTAGATTATACCAACATCTATAAATAATAAAAAAAAACTTATTTGAGTTTGAAAAACACTGACATTTTAAAATCAAACCATGTCATTTTATTTACAAATGTGCTATTTTTTAAAAATAAAATGAGGCAACATGTTTACACTAACAATACTCCTTATAAATCATAGCCATGAGATTGTTATATAAAATATTTGACG